GGAGCAAACAAAAATATTTTTTGAGCTGTGAGGGGTTTTGGGGGGTCTGCAAAATGGTCCTTGGGCTACATGTGTTCTACAGGCCACACTTGGCTCACCATCTCAGCTTTATACCATGCTACAGTCCTGATTCTGTTTGGGCAGAGTCTCTTTGATTTGCATATGAAAAAGGCCCAGTTTATTCAGTGGGGATGTTTTTTCCCCTGTGTTAATTTTTGGTGTCAAAGGAGAAGATGGTCTGGACTGAATCTATAGCAAGGGTAGGAATCTAAAGCCCTATATTGTAGCTAAAAAAGCAAATGCAATTCTAGGCTGCAGCAATACAAGTATAGTGTTTAGGTCAAGGGAAGCAATAGTGCCACTCTATTCTGCTTTGGTCAGGCCTCACCTGGAATATTGTGTCCAGTTCTGGGCACCACAATTCAAAAAAGATGTTGACAAACTGGAGAATGTCCAGAGGAGGGCAACCAAAATGGTGCAAGGTCTGCAAACCATGAGGAGAGACTTAGGGCCTCCACAGATGGCCTGTTTGGGACAGCTCTGGGCTGCTCCTGCTAGTGGCAGATCGGGGCTGTGGCAATCTCACACCATGGCCCCAATCCTCCTTTTTGCTTCCCCCAAAAGAGCGGCAAAATGCCACTCCTTTTGGAGGCAGCAAAAGGTGACCCTAAGAGCTTGTGCCACAGCTCTTCCACGCCCTCCTGGTGCTGCACACCATGCAAAAGGGTGCACGGCATCAGGATGTCATTGGGATAGAGTTGGGATGGCTGGTGTACGGCTGCTCCACCCCAGTTCCACCCCCAGACCTCCTCTTTAGGCTGGTCTGCAATGCCCCTTAGAGAGCTAAGTATGTTTAGCTTGGAGAAGAGAAGGTTAAGAGGTGATATGATAGTCTTGTTTAAATATTTGAAGGAGTGTCATATTGAGGCTGGAGCAAGCTTGTTTTCTGCTGTTCCAGAGAATAGGACCCAGAGGAATGGATTCAATTTACAGGAAAAGAGATTCCACCTTAACATTAGGAATTTCCTGTAAGAGCTGTTCGACAATAGAACACACTCTCTTGGAGAGTGGTGGAGTCTCCTTATTTGAAGGTCTTTAAACAGAGGCTCAATGGCTATCTGTTGGGGATGCTTTGATTGTGAAATCCTGCATGGCAGGAGGCTGGACTGGATAGCCCTTGAGGTCTTTTATAACTCTTTGATTCTATGATTCTAAGATCTGAATTTCGGTCCGGTTCATAACAGATCCAATTTACTTCTGAGTGAAGGAAAAGCATTAATGTACCTGCAGTCCACCATTACCATGAACAAAAGACAATTTTCCATTTCTTCTAGCAGTCGACCAAGGAGAATCTGAAATCACAATACCCTCTAACTTTCTGAAATATTTAAACCTCACGCGGCATGTGAGTTGGTAAATTATTGTTTCCTGTTGATAATGATATTCAGAAATAATTTATTTGAAAAACAAAAAAGGGAAAAACAGAGCACAATATTTTAACTTGCTGATTTGTTTCTTTCAGCGCAGGCTTATCTCGTCTTTCCATTTGTTCCTCCATTGCACATTTTACAGGATTTAAGCTATCCGCTTAGACAGCTATTCTTGGGCAATTTTGTATGACTTTCTGAATTCCTTACCCCAGCTGAACATCTATAAACTACATTTGCTTCACTGTCTACAGGCCTGCCTTGTTGATGACTGCAACCTTGAAGCAAAATCACTAAAATTTCTACCTGAATAACAGTGAGCACTTCTCGTGTAAATCTTTCAAAAAAGCTAGTGGCAGGAGATGCCATAAAGACCATTTCAACATATATTTCAGCTGGCATATAACGTTTTTCAGCCCCTCTTTAAAGAAAGAACATAGAGGACTAGAGTAATTCTTAACAACTGATGAATCTGCAATCTCATGGAGAAAACTATATCACTTCAGAAAATAACCAAGCACTTTTTCACCAATATCTATTTGTTATTGGAATTGCTGCCTTGATTTATGTAGTTATTTCCACCATCACCGACCCCCAGATCATGGATTATTTTCTTATACAAAAAAAAGGGAGCCAACAGTAAGATATTTTCCTCATCCCAGTGTGTTTCTGCTTCTGGTTTGACTTAGGCTATATCTTGAAATTTTAGCCCCACAAAAGATGGTTATGGGAAGAATTCCACCTCCTTTGGTCACCTTTCCAGTCAACATACATTATTTAATATTTAATCCTATTAAACTTTCATGAGGCTTGTAGAAGATGTGGAGGACCTTCTCGTACAGAACATATAGACTCCTTTTACAAACTAAAGGCTCCTTGTCACCACCTGCAATCTTCTCAGGCAAGATGGATGATTTTATACATACATTTGGTCTGGAGAATAGATGCAGTCTTAAATATAAGAGAACATTTCTTTAAATCATTAATTCATCTAAAACAGGAGTGGGAACCTGTTCTATGTGTCAGGCCAGATCCCATCACTCTCAATCCCACACAGGCCAGATGCCCTCAATGGGATATGGCCTTGCCACTAGTGTCAAGGGCATCCCCCATCAGAGTGCTGGTACTACAGTTGCAGGCTTAGCTTTGTTCTACATGGGAGGGAAGGAGGGGAAACAAATCTTCACCCACATACCTAAGTTCTAGCTTCAAGAACAGACCAGCAGCTGATGCTTAGCTCTTTTATGGTTTTTCTTGTTAGATTGGAAACTCAAGCACCAGCTGCAAGAACACTCCTTCACCCATTGCTTGGGTCTCCAAAGCATTGTCCACCCTGCCTTGACTTCTTTCATGGAGAATGCACTGCAGCAGATGTTTTCAGCTATTATACCTGGATGGAGAGAATAATAGGAACTATCCTACCCATCATTAGTCTTCCCCATTCAGACAGCAAATGTGTGTGTGTGTGTGTGTGTGTGTGTGTGTGTGTGTGTGTGTTGTGTGCAGAGGGTGGGGTGGAAGATCTTCATATTTAGCTTCAACCTCTACTTCTGAACTAGGGATTCCTCCTTTTCTTATCTTTGTTACCCAGTGAATGGGGATGGCCTTCCTGGCAGCTGTGCTTTGGAGTATGTCATCTCTGGACACTTTGTGCAACCAGATTGGACTCATGTGCTGCAAGTTCCTTCCTATGATTTAAAATGTTTCTGTCCTATCCTTCCCTCACACTGGCTCTTTCAAGGAGTTAATTTTAAAATGATATAAAATATCACACCAAGAAAACAAAAATACAGCCCAAACACATAAAGCAACAAAAATGAGCAGTAAACTGCGCCAGCAATATTATTTTTCATTTGATGCCAAGGTGGTGAGAGAATTTTTGACCTGATTCCTAAGGGAAGGTAGCAGTATCAGCATTTAGCAAAATCTACTTCCTGAGTGAGAAAAATCCCACCACTGTGAAGTTTCTATCGTCAGGCATCCCCTGACCTGCTGCACTTCTGATGGAAAAATTAGCAACTGGGACTGAGATCACCTCAACAAATGGACAGGAACAGGATAATCCTATATATATCTACTCAGATATTTTATCTGCTCATGACTCATTAGTTGTGTCTCCACATGATGTGTAGAAAACTAGCTTTGCCCTACCAGCAACACTTTATAACTGATTTCAGTAACAGAATATTATGAAAGCTTATCACCAAAAGCCCTTCCAAAATTTCAAAGTAATAAACTTGTTTCCTGCTGGTACATTTAGCTTCATAATTATCCCCCACCTCTTGGAATTTGAAAAAAGTTTTTTTTATCAAATAGTGATACAAGATTGTTATGAACAATCTTAGGCTTAAATACAGCTGCAGTTTAGATTTCTTATACCAACATAACTAAGGCATCTCTGGAAAATCAGGCAAGGGAAATAATATTGAAGGGAAACAGTAAATGCAAACCAAATTGTGGAGGCTCAAAAATAATAATCTCCTTTGGCCAGAGAACACACTGAAGGTGTATGTTGCTGGATGTTGTTGCTTTTCTTGCAGTTGTTTTGTTCTTGTTGCCAATGAATCTTCTATCAACTTCACGCACTTAAGTCTTGACAAAGACATGCTTTAAAGGTACCTGGCAGTATTTGATAACTGGAAGCTATGGACAACCCATGACATCCCTTTCAAATGCATTTTTGAGAGTAAAGATGGTTCCAGTTTTGATATGCCACTGTCTCAAATAATTCATTTAATTTCACAGGGATTTTGGAAGACTTAGGAAGCATCTACAGTACACTGTAGAAATAATGCAGTTTGACACCATTTTAAGTGTTGTGGTGCCATCCTATGGAATCCTGGGATTTGTAGTTTTGCAGGGTCCTTAGCTTTCTCTGCCAAAGAGTGCTGGTGCTTCACAAAACTACAAATCCCAGGAATATGTAGGATAGAGCCATGGCCATTAAAGTAATGTAAAACTGCTTTATTTTCTACAGCATAATGCACCAATAGTTTTCCATTCATAACACTCATTTTGTTCTAATCACACTTCTTCCATCTTCCTTTTTCTTCAGAAAACTAATTCAAAGGGGAAAGATACAGCCTCCTCTGATTCCTAGCACAAGGAACCCTTAGTTTGGAGATCCACTTTAAATCTGAATGACAATGTTAAAAGTAGTTATGAAATTAAAATGTTTAAGATTCTTCCATTTACAAGCCACTTCTACCTCTCTTCTGGCTCAGATCTAGCAGGAAAGACTTTCCTTATCCAAGAATACACCATCAAGGCTAGCATGTTGCTCTTCCACATATTTTTCTAGGGGGAAAGTGACAATGCATTTCATGCTGCCATTCAGTCAGACACATCTACTGTGGCCTACCCTGAGAAAGTTTAGCTCTCCAAAATATAAGCTTTGATTAGTTCTCTCTTGAGGGGCAATTTACAGTACTCTTTGAACCAATGTAGTCTGAAGAAATGATAGACATGAAGTTTCTCAAGGAATGAAACCTAATTTATTGTTAGACCTTTCCCAAGAAAATGTTGTTTGTATCAATTCCCCAGAACTTGCCCAAGGTCTGCCAGTGGGTTTCATGGCCAAGTGGGGAATTGAACCCTGGTCTCCAGAGTCATAGTCCAACACTCAAACCACTACATCACACTGGCATTCTAAAGAGACAGTACAGAGTATACTGAGTATGCTGGCAAAACATCAGAAAGAAACTCTTCTAGAACATGGTCACACAGCCCAAAAACCCACAAAAAAATTATGGATGCTGGCCATGAAAGCCTTCGACTTCACAGTGCAGAATATAATTTGTCCTTTAGTGTTACTAATGATATTAATCACCTTTTTCCATATTCAAGAGAGACTCAGGACTTAGATACCCTGTGAAAGCTGCCAGATAAGGATTCTTCCCCTCTACTACCCAAAGTTCATACTAACTGGTTTCTGGCAACCATGCCATGTATTAATCAAGGTACAAGAAATTTGCATTTGCCAAGTTTTAATCTAAAAAAAATATGTTGAACAAATTGAGATTAAATATGCTACAGCTCTGTTTGTTTGGTTTTTTTGTGTTTGTGTTTGATGGCTATGTAATATGTAACTATGTATTACTTTGCATATCAAACACAATGTCCAAGAGCATGATCTATGTGTCTATAAAGCTCTAACTGTTAAGTGGTGCCAATTTTATAATGAAGCCTGGTCTTTCAGGAGGGCAATTTGTGCAGCACAATAGGAACATAGGAAACCACTTTATATCAAGTCAGGCCATTGCTCCATCTAGGCCACTGTTGTGTCAACTTTCCATAGTTTCAGGAAGGATTCCTTCCTGGCATTACCTAGAGATTATTCCCAGTTGGCTTCCCATCCAATTGCTAATTAGGTCAATCTTGGATAAGACTGTTTAGGGCCTCGGCAGACGGCTAATTGAGCCGTCTCCGAGGCCAGGAAGAGGAGGAGCAGCCGCACGCGCGGCGCTCCTTCCTCTCCCTGAGGTCATCCTCGGAGCTGCCGGCCCTCCGCACAGCCGGCACTCCGGGGGCAACCTCCTGCCACAGCGACCAGACGCGCTGCGGCGGAAAAGACAGGGAAAGTGTGCCTGACGCTTTTAGGGTGCACTTTCCCTGTCTTGAGGAAGGAGCACTGATTTAGCCCTCCTTCCAGGGATGCCGCCGGTGCGCCGTATTGTGGAGGCTGCGGCCCTGCCGCGCACCAGCCCAGGGCATCCTGGATGCCCTCGTCTGCTTCCCCCCTTAGTGAGATTGGTTGGTATTTTATACTTGGGTCTCTGTTTTTGAGTGAATAACCCTCACACTTCCAGAATACAGAACCTCCCCATTTCTGATGTTGATGGAAGGAAACCTGGCTGATACACTTCACTGAATAAGCATGGATGATTCCACTACTTATCTGCTTGTATGGACTTTTGGACTGTAGTATGAAATCATAGTGGGAATGCCTCTTGGAACGTTTTTATGTTTCCCAATTAATTTTTTCCTAAGAATTTTAACAACATTAAAATAACATACATAAAAAGGAAAAAAAATAAAGAATAGCAAATATGGAAAAAGAACAGAATACAGAAGAAGAAAAAAGAATGAATCATTTACTTCCAACTTTTTCATTGATGGCTATATATGATATGCCTTACATGACAATGCCTCATACTTCTACCACTTATTTATTTCTACTCATTTTCAAAACCCACAATTAATATTTTTATCTTTTTGTCCTGAAAAAAACAAAGCAATTAAAGGTTCCCAATCTTTCTTGAAAGTTCTCAAAGATTTCCCTCTTATTAGAGTAAATAACTTACCAATTTCAGCTAAATCCAACAATTTTACTAGCCAGTCTTCTTGTGATGGGGTCATTGTGTTCTTCCGTTTTTCGGTATAGAACAATCTTGCTCCAGTAATCATATATTATAGTACTCTTCCATACTTCTCCATATGGTTTTCTGGCTTTAGCTGTAATTTCATTTCCACAATCTTCTGGATCAATCTATGAATTTTTACTGATAACATTTCCTTGCCCTATCATAAGTTGGATTTCTCTTGAGAGGCAATTTGCAATATTCTGAGGGTTTTTTTTAAAGCGTAGGTTAAAATACCTTGAATTGATTTAATAATAATTTAAATATTGTCATGCAGTTTTCTACACTTCAGCTCTTAACTAAATATAATTTATAGTATTCAGCAAGAATGAAATCAATAGTTTTTCTTGATCTACATCACATCCATATGCTATGCCAAAGGGGTACAATGAAATGTATAAGGCAAAATAATAGATACCCTATGGAAGATTCATTTGGAGCTAGTATTATCATAGCATTTTAAAAAGGCATGAGACAGCCAAAGGGAGATTAATACAATAGAGCCTTTTGAAAGCATGAGCTCTCAATTATTACATAGCAGTAAAAAGTCCCATATTAATGGGCACTCTGGCCATTCCAGTCTATTATGCCTTATTCCTAATTGCAATGCTGGTTTTATAACTTCCAATTAATTGGTTTAACAAGGACCTCCAAAAAGCCTTTATGCCTTCATTTCATTTTTTGATTCAAAAATAATTCCCCAATTATTGCCTCATTTGTGAGCTTGAGAACTAAATTCTTATTTTAAGTAGATAATGGGATGGGAAGTAGTACACGGTGGATACATGAACAGAAGAATATCTATGACTTCCCAAGGATGAAAAGGAGCTGTATTTACACAATTCTCTTGTAGAACATGCTGTTTTACCTCTGGAATTTCATCTAGAAAGAAGCCAAAACCCTCAGGCCCATTTCCATGCTGTTTTGTAGCAGCAGCACTAAGTGAATTCAAAGATAACTAACTAAACCACCAGATCAGTTAGCATAATGTTTTGCTGTTCTTGTTAAAGAAACCAAAAAGAGAATCTGTGACTGCTAGTCAAAGCACAATATGCAGATGAAGTTGAAGAAGAGGGACATTTTAAAAACCCTGTTGGAGAGGTAGTAATGCCAAACTGAACAAGGTCTGAATATCATGGCACTAGTTGCACCATCATATGGGTAGAATGCATGATAGGGTGTTAGTCACCCCCAAACTGTCTCCCATCATAAATAATCTGGATAGCCAAGGCAGCAATCCCCCCAGGTTGAAAATGTTGCTGCTGAATGCCAGGTTAGTGAATGGTAGAACAGCTGCCATTCAGGACTTGATCGTGGAAGAACAAGCTGACCTGGCCTGAATTACAGAGACCTGGTTGGATGAAGCTGGGGGGGGGGGCTTAATCTCTCAGCTTTGCTCACCAGGATTCTGTGTGCAGCAGCAGGCAAGACTTGGGGGGTGAGGAGGAGGAGTTGCAGTGGTCTATTGGAATAACATCCCCTTGACCAGGCATCCTATCCCTCAGTTTACAGGGTTTGAGTGTGTTTATTTAAAGGTGGGTAGCTGGGACAAATTAAGGATTCTATTGATGTACCACCCACCCCACTGCACAACATTCTCCCTTCCTGAGCTAGCCAAGGTGATCTTGAGAGTATTGGAGTCCCCATGGCTTATATTGCTGGGAAATTTCAACATTCATGCTGAGGCTACCCTATCGGGAGTGGCTTAGGACTTCATGGCCACCATGACAACCATGGGGCTGTCCCAAGTGGTATCTGGTCCCACTCATGCCACTGGGCACACTCTAGACCTTATGTTCTGTACGGGGGGGGGGGGGGGGTTGATGGTGATCTGGGAATGGAGGAGCTTTCTAATGTTCCATTGTCATGGACAGATCATTTTCTGGTCAGGTTTAGACTGCTGGAACTCAGAACCTCTGCAAGGGTGGGGAACCCATTAAGATCATCCGCCCCAGGAGGCTTATGGATCGGGATGGATTCCTGATGGCTCTTGGGGAGTTTCCTGCTACCGTGGTAGGTAATCCTGTCAAAGCCCTGGTTGATCTCTGGAATGGAGAAATGACCAAGGCAGTTGACATGATCACAGAGTGGAGCTAAACCAGCCTCTTGGTTCTTTAAGGAGCTGGCAGCAATGAAGTGAACAAAATGGAGACTAGAGAGATAGTGGCGAAAAACTCAGAGTGCATTTGACCGAAAGCAGGCTAAAATTTATCTGAAAACTTATGGTGATGCAATAAAGGCAACAAAAAAAGGGCTATTTTTACTAAAATATTGGGGCTGCACAGAATTGTTCAGCTGAACTGTTTTGAGTAGTCAGGGATCTGTTATGATCTGGTCCTGAGGAGAATATAAGCCACTCAAAAGCTCATTGTGAAGAATTTGACCACCACTTTTCTTATAAAATAGGTCATATTTGCTCTGACTTAGATGCCAGAGTTTATAGTTTCAGTGGATTTGACCTTGGCTCCTGCTTGTCCAGCACAGATGGATACTTTTCAATTTGTGCAGCCTGTGGATGTGGACAGGATCCTTGGAGAGGTGAAAGATACTACATGTATACTAGACCCTTGCTCTTCCTGGCTTATTAAACAGGCCATAGGAGGACTGGTGGAGTGGGTAAGGGAAGTGATTAATGCCTCTTTACAGCAAGGCAGGGTCTCATCACACCTGAAGGAGGCAGTGGTAAGACCTAATTTGAAAAAATCTTCCCTGGATCCTACTGTACTAGATAATTACAGGTCAGTCTCTAATCTTCCATTTTTTGGGCAAGGTGCTGGAGCATGTAGTGGCTTCCCAGCTCCAGGCATTCCTGGATGAGACAGATTATCTAGATCTATGTCAGTCTGGTTTTGGGGCCTAGTTATGGGACAGAAACAGCTTTGGTTTCTTTGGTGGAAGACCTATGGAGGGAACTGGACAGGGGGAGTGTGTCCCTGTCGGTTTTTCTGGACCTCTCAGTGGCTTTTGATACCATCAACCATGGTATTCTTCTGAGTCGCCTCTCTGGGATGGGGTTTGGAGGTCCTGTTCTACAGAGCTCCATTCTTTCTTGGAAGGGTGTTATCAGAAGGTAGTGCTGTGCGATTCCTGTTTGATTTCTTGGCCATTGGTTTGTGGGGTCCCTCAGGGCTCAGTCCTGTCCCCTATGTTTTTAGCATCTACATGATACTGGTGGGAGAGGTCATCCAGAGTTTTGGAGTAGGGTGTCACCTGCACGCTGATGATACCCAGCTCTATCACTCTTTTCCATCTAATTCCAAGGAAGCTGCTGGCTGTGTCTGGCTG